CATCTAATTCTAGATTCAGAATTTGACTGAATTTACGTAACAGGAAGTTAAAGTAATGCTGACTCAGAAGTACCTGACTCTAAAGTTCCTATAAGATGTTATGCATATTGACTAGTGCTTGTATTACATTACTTTTTCTGAGCAGAGATCGTCTTGCGTTCTGAAAGCTTAGTGAATCATAATGTTCCTTTCCTCTAGTTATTGTTTTGTTTCCAGAGATCCAAAGAGGAGAGGGGGGAGAAGGAGTGTGTGTGTGTGTGTGTGTGTGTGTGACCACATGACTCACTACAGGGCCACTCCACCAGATGCAATAACGCATTCAATCAGATTAAGAAGCGCGTGTGTTTTCGGGCACATATGTGCGTGGGTGGCTGCCACGTTTCGCGCGTAGCACCTTATCGCTCATATTCTATACATCTGAAGAGCATCCGGTCTTACTGGAAGGGTGCTCGCTGCTGGACTGGATTGTCTGTCAGCTTGAAAGGTTAGTATCTTGACTCTTTTATAGTGACGAGTAGTTTTATATTTACATGCAGGTATCCAGCTTAAAACGAATGCATTTTTTTAGTCGCTAGTGCAGTGGTGGTCCCCCAAAACTGCACATTTTGGACGACTCCCTAATCTAACACACCTGATTCAATTCACTATTAGAGGCTCCGTTTCCTGAAATGGGTGTGTCATATCTAAAATCTGGAGTGTTGGGGGGCCACCGGGACCAGATTGAGAACCGCTACACTGGTGGTAGCTAGGCAAACGTCTCTGAACGTCGCTTCTTTTTGTCTTTTAATTGCTTGTGAAAAGTTTTTTCGGTGTTTTTTTGTAACGCTGCCCTGGTATGTGAGTCTGGAAGCTGCAGGCGTATAAAAAAATTGAATAGTGTGGAGTTGCTTTTGCCGTTACCTTAAATGAACCCTCCGCTGAACTCAATGCACTGGCTGCTGCTGGCGTAGATGATGAGAGGCACTGTTGCCAGATCTCGTGAGAAAAGCAAGCGAATGGAAACGCTCAATTTTATTGATCACCATGAAACATTTAGATTACAGAAATAATAATAGCAATAATAATAAAAAACAGATTGAGCAATAATGACTGAATTGACTAACAAAATAATGTAAGTATATACTTCTCCAAAAATAAATATTTCACATATACAATTGGATATCTGAATTAATAAAAAATTATAAATCTTAATCAAAATTTATACAAAAGTAATTGAATTTTTTTTAAAATCTGGTGTTCAAGTAGGAAAAAGGAAATACAACTGGTAAATTGAAAATAAATGTTTTATACAATTCTGCAGTTCTGTACATTTGAAATCCCGAAGCATGCCTGTGTTCTGCCAACAAACCCAAAAAAGAGCAACGCGCGATTGCCAGTATTTATAAGCGTTTTGATGAAAAGTGGCTTATAATACGCGGATATGGCAACACTGCTGAGAGAGAGGGAGCGAGCGAAGGGGTGCGCGCGAGAGAGGCTGTGTCTCAAAACCTAGCGAGACAGTCTTTCGAACGTTCGAGCGCGACGATGATGCCCCAAAAAGCGCTGTCTAGGTAGCAGCTTCGCTAGGAATCGAAACACAGCCAGGGTGAGACAGAAAGGAGAAGCTGCGTTCGATTATCTCACACAGCGCTCAGTTAAATGAGGGGGAAAAAAGCTTTCGGTTCTTCCATAACGGGATCTAATAATTATTATATCGTTAGAATTGATGACCACGCCCCTCTTTCAGCCCCACCCTCTCGTCTTATCATTGGTAAGTGAGTTAATACTTCATTATGTGTCTTTTATTGGTGTGGAGAAGTCTCTCCCAGCGTGTCAGATAGCTTATCAGACTGGTGTTGGCTGTTACATTGGCCCGGCGACAACAGTCTGTAGGCTGTCTGACATTTTGGGCTTTTCATCCCCTCTAAAAATCTTCTATTTTTAATCCCTGTCGATTTTGTTGTTATTAGTAGTTGTCATTGTTGTCATGTCATTTTTTCCAATACTGAAAATAGCTTTTTGTCTCGATATTGGTGTCTAATTTTGGGGGGTCGTTATTAAAGAAATATTTCCGATGTGTGTGTGTGTGAGTGTGTGTGTGTGTTTACAGAGCGTGATTGACGTGTTTCTGCGTAGCCCTTCTCGTTAAAGGGCGTGTGTGTGTGCGCGCACGTTCAGCACTTGGTTTTGTCCACTTGAATTTCTTGAGAATCCAGAAAGAACACGCCTTATTGCAACACACTCTGTTATGACAGGTCTTTTTGCCCACCCCTTCATTTGCACTTGCTCTACAGTTTTTTTCCCCTCTGTCATATAACTGCTCAATCGTTATCTAACATGTGCAACTGGTATTTGTAATTAAATTAAAAAGATGTTAATTCAGCAATTCCCCCCCTCTGTTTTTCTCCATTGTAAAACCACAGGGTGATCTGCTTGGCTTTCATAGTCAAGTCCTATCATTTCCTCTTTAACTGTTCAGAACATCCTGTACTTTAGGGAACCCCCTCTGCCATCCATGTGTGTCTATGTGTCCTGTGTGTGAATCAATAAAGATGAATGAAGTAAATGTCAATCTGTCTCCTGGTTTTTGAGTTGAGTTTTATATATTTTATTATTTTAGTTTTCTAATAAATTGTAAGTTGCAATACAACATGCAATAGTAATTGCAGGCTAATAAATGTAATTTCTGCAAGCTGAAGAAATTAAAGTTAAGGTCAAGTTTAAAGTTTTAGATAAAATAAGAGCAGCTAAAAGAAAAATACTATAAATGCATATGTATGAAAATAAAGATGAATAAAAAAAATAAAATGAAAAAGCTTCAGAAATTTAAAGCAGATAAAATATAAGTTGAGATAAAATATGAATTGTTATGAGTTTTATATAGTATATTTTTCAGACATCGAAGATTGTTTAATGCAGAGCAATACATCATGCAACAGTAATTGCAGGCAATGAAATGTGATTTCTGCAAGCTTCAGAAATTTTAAGTTAAGATAAATTTTTATCTTAGTTAAAGTAAAAAATTTAGTTTAAGGTAAAATTTGAGCAGTTAAAAAAATAATTATATATATATATATATATATATATATATATATATAAATACATATGAAAATAAAGATAACATTTTTAAAATGTATAAACAGTCTGAAGCTGCAGTAATAAATAGCCTACCACAAATGTCATTCCTTTATGCCCCAATAAGAAGCAATTAGAAAAAAAAAGAAGAAAAACGACTCTGAAAATATGTGTACTGTATAATATCATGTATAATATCATATTCATCCTGTCAGAATGAAGTAGTTATTTGGTGATGTGATTAATTCAGGCACGATCACGCCCACTACAGTTAAGAGCCTGAGGGTTCGCCATCATGCAAATCGCTCGTTCAAACAGGTTTTAATATTCAAATAAGGCTTGACATGTTCAGTTGTAGTTTCTTAACAACCCTCCTCCATCTTATGACCACTCTTTTGTGTAGGTTGCACAATAAGGTCAGGTGTTCTTGCTTAGCATGTGACCAAACAACACTTTTGAGGGTTTAGTTAGATTTCCAACGTGCACGCATACTGTGCACTACCTTTAGCAACCAGTAGGGGGCACAGATGAACATTTTTGGATATTATTTTCAATATTTAAAAAAATTGCATATTAAGAGTTTTGTAGGCCTAAATTAAAGTGTCCTCACGTTTTTGTATTTTGTGACAATAATCTATATAATTAAGAACATGTTAATGATCATTTGAGACATCTTGATTGGAAGAATCTGGGTGAGGGTAAAACTATAACAGTTAACCATATTCAGTTTACGGCTCTCAAAAGCAAGTGTATTTATAATTAGTCTGCTAAAGTCCAGGTGAGTCAGGGACTTTAACCCATGACATGAATCAATGATGCGCTGTCACCGAACTGGAGAACACTGGCACACCCAAGCTGACTCAGAAACAGGTGTAAACGTTACCTGACGCAGATGCTGGGTATCTTTACCTCTCCCGAAACCCACAGGTATGTATCATTAAAACTAACAGAAGAACGGAGAGTCTGATCAACTATTAGCTTCCTGCTCTCATTCTCAACAGGTAGCCTACATGTTTTTTTATTTATTTTTGTTTTATTTATTTTTTTGGAACAGATAATCAGTGTCTACAACAGGACCCATTTTTTATAACAAACAATTAAGCTTCAAATAGCTTGATATATTACATCAGTCATATCAACAGCCATACCATTGTGATATGCATTGTTTTGTGTCAGGTTGTGTAAAGTATGTATGGGTTTATACCTCTTTTTCAAAAACATACAACTTTGGAAAGCCCCTGTAACTATAATTTGCATAATGATTTTTTTTCTTCCTGCTTAAAGCATATGTGGCACACAAAGTGCCCATTGTGATCCATTCATGGGGAACAGAGAATTGTGGCTACCCAGCACTTTGTAACAATGTTAGCTCGCATCTTTCTTCAGTCAACTCTTTTAGCGACCTCGCTGACTTTTGAACGTTAAGTAGTGTAGAACAGGATAAAAGGTTTAAATAGAATTACCCTTCATGAATAATCAAATAGTTTCAAAAGGATTGCCAAATCTCCTCCCAAATCTAAACGGTAATACACCTACAGTTATTCTACAACAAATGCTCAAGCAACACAAAACATTTTAATGATACCATAATACTAAAATATAAATATATATGTGTATACATATACTGAAAAAATTAATTTACTTTGGAAAAAAATAGACAATGAAACGGCAAACAACACTGAATTAAATGCAAACTTTCAAAGTAGAAAGACTGAAATAGTATTTACTATTTTGTGGACAACTTGGGAAAAAAAACACATTTATTATTAAACCATAAGAGGAGAGAAACGTGAAGTTTTTTTATTATTACATAAATTAAGCTTGAAAACACAGGCAAACCACTGATTGTGATTATGCGGTAGCTTTATCCGTGAGGGTTAACAGCACGAATGTTGAAGCTCTTGACAGAAGCAAAACATTGGCATGTCTTTTGTCGACACCTATTGGCAGTGCGGCGGTACTACAAGTAAAATCAGCTTCCTATACACAGAATGACGCGTTTTTGTATCCGTTCACCCACTTACCTCAGCTACAACCTTCCGGAATAAAGTCAAAGACATTCGTGTGTTTAAATAAACAAAAGCGTTCATTCAGTTGTTGACAGTTGTTTTACACATTCCGGAGCATGCGCACTGACGCTCTGTGAAATTCGCTGTTCGCCGTGATTATCGTTTACCGGTAGTAATCTCTGTAGGGATACGTTGCGTACCGGAGCCGTTATGGCGGCGGTGAGTCGTGCGGGACCATGAGGTGTCTGTATTCATCGTTATTCCGGTATTGGAGTGTGTAAAGATACTGTGACCATGGCTGGTGTTTTTGATATCGACCTGGACCCGCCGGAGGACAACGTGTCAGACGAGGAGCTCGCCGACGGGGTAGGTAACTAACTGGTAACCGGTGTTCTGACGATTTGATTTGTGCTACCTCCCATTAAAAAGATAGGTAGCACAAATCGATAGCGAAAAATGCTACCTATCAGATTGTGCTACCAGAATCTTATTCATGTGTTTTGAGGCTTTTTTTAAATGTCCATACCTAACTTAACCCTACCCTAAACCTACCCGTCCACACATACCCTTACCCTAAACTTACCCTTAAAACAATGCAAATATATTTTTGGTAGCACAATCTGATAGGTAGCATGTTTCGTCGGTACACCTGGCTCGGTTCAGATTTTCCGCATCGCCTGAGGATCGATCCAGCACCTTTACACGCTTCAGAAACACGGCATAAAAGTACTATACGATTTTTACGTGGTTTACAATGTTTTACAGAGGATAGATCCACAAAGTACTTACCAGGATATATATGACAAAACATGGCAATACCATTATTATAAGTGGACATATTTGTCTGTTTTAATACGACTTTGGAATCTAGCTTAAGATGTTTTCAAGCTGGTCTAAGGTTATTAATATAACCTGGTTATTAATATGGTGGACCTTCTTGAACTAGCTACCAGTTGATCAAACTGAAGATATTCCATCTTTTTTTTTTTAAGAACATATTAGCAGGACATAATAGCTAATGGCTAAGACCAGCTAGAAACACATCTAGGCTACCTGCTTAAACTGGATTTTTGGATACCTAGCATCACTTCAGGTGTATGAAGATGTCTGTTTTAATGGACTGTCAAACTTGACTATGACTAAACAGAATTAAGAGTCATGCTAAATATGACAGATATGAACTTTCAAAACTTTTCAGCTGCAGTTCATTTTTAATATCACTGAAAGCAAAATAGACTTTAGAGGTTTAGTGTTCAAAAGTTTGCCAGAAGTTCTCATGTCAGATTTTTAGACCGACTTTTCTCCTGAATTACATCTGAAACCACAAAAAGAAAATCCTCTGTAGGTCCAACTTGCATTGGTCTGACACTCTCTGTTGTTAGACTGGGTCTTATAATGTGATCAGTGACCTTGATACTCCGAGTGATGGAAAAAAGCCAGTGCGCATCAGTCACTGCTATAGATTGAGCGTTAATGGCCATGTCAGATCTGCACACTATGCATTTGGTGGAAAAGCTGCAGGGATACAAAAAACTGCAGTCCACACCTCAAACACTCTGTAAACCTTCCATAAACACCAAAAGTTTGTTTCTGTCCACAGGCCAAGAGTAATGAATGCCTGGACCAGTGCAGTGGCTTTGAATTGTGAGTATGTCAAAGAGCTACTTGACATTCAAACATAATTATATTTGTGTAATTCGATGATGTCATTTTAATTTAGAAGTGAAATGTCTTCTCTTTGATTAAAATGTTGATATTTTATGTTAAATGTATATAAATGTTGATGTTTTGGAGCAGTTTGGAAGACTGTGAGAAGTTCGAAATCTCAGAGAATATTGTGAATCAAGGCACAGAGCAGATTCGTCCAGAATGTTTTGAGTTGCTTCGTGTTTTGGGTAAAGGAGGATATGGAAAGGTAAGCAAGACAAGCAGTGCTACCCAATGTTTCCACCCTGCATGTGGTGTAGTTTTTAACACATAATATGGGCTTTAAAATAATGTACACTACTGTTCAAAAGTTTTGGGTCGGAAGGAGTTTTTGAAAGAAGCTTCTTATGCTGCATTTATTTGATTAAAAATACAATAAATGCAGTAATGTTGTGATATATTATTATAATTTTAAATAAATGTTTTATATTTTAATATAGTTTCAAATGTAATTTAAAATATTTGCAATTTGCTGAATTTTCAGAACAGCATTGATTTGAAATAGAAATCTTTTGTAACACTGTAAATGTCATTACTGTCACTTTTGATCAATTTAATGCATCCTTGCTCAATAGTGTCCATTCATTTTTGTCTTCATGCTTTTAATTTTCGTTTGCAGATTTTTATTGTAGATCTTACCATGCCATGTTTATCGGACCTTCAACTTTTGTATGTTAAAGTGCCCCTATTATGCCATTTTTAGGGTACACAAAAAAAGATTGGGGTTGTACTGCTGTGGTACAGTGGGGGGGGGTGGAAATTATAACCACTGATTCTTTGCAGCCTCATCTTTCGGAAGTGAAAATAAAAAAATGTACTTTAACAGTGTCTTCTTGACATGATGTTAACCACACAAACAATCTACAGTGTCTGAGGGCGGGTCAAGTTGTTCGTGGCTGGCCAACGTAGAACATAGGCGGGCATTATGAAAATGTGTTACCATGTGACGTGTAGCCTTCACGGAAGTGTGATTCGAATTACTGACAACTCGTTTAGGCTGTTCAGTGCTCAGTGTCTTTTGGAGACAATAACTTTATTTATCGTGCACTTTCGGCTTTACAACTTTGCAGATTGTTTACATTCACATACACCTACATTACACACTGCATGAAAGGAAATATTCGAAATGGCATAATAGGGGCACTTTTAACATCCCTTTCTGTTTAAAAAAACAGGTTTTTCAAGTTCGCAAGGTAACTGGAGCAGATTCTGGGAAGATATTTGCCATGAAGGTCTTGAAAAAGGTATGGCCCCCCAAAATTCATAATAATTGATCTTTCCCTGAAAATCAGTGTGGGTGTTCCATCATGCCTGGTCCTGCTGGTTAACGGGTTGTATTGGTGTGGTTTGCTGCAGGCCTGTGAATAATGTTTAAGGAATGTTTCATCATTACCTATAAACAGTTTCAGTAATGATTGTTTGTATAGTTTGTGTGTTTTTCCTTTTCACAACAGCTAATAAAATGGTTAAATAGTAGAATTCCTTATTTTGGCATCTGCAAACAAGTAGATCATAACAGGAACGCACAGTAGCATTTAATAGGAGGAATATTGCTTTGCTCAAAATGCTTAGTTCAACATATTTAGAACACAAGGGCTTATAATAGCATGCTTCACAGGGTCTAATTTGGCAAGACCACGGATGAGTGGCAGATTTGGTTATTTATCAACTTGGTAGAAAGATATAATGTGGTCATAATATGATGCAATCTCAGCTGGCCAGATTTGCATACCAACAGAATGTGGCTCTGTTCTTATCAATACTTAGTAGACTCTTCATTGTACACTGTAGCCGTTTTAGCTAAATTATCTTTAAACAGGGTTCCTACGCAGTTTGGAAAAGTATGACATTTGATTTGAGTAATTTCCAGGTCTGGAAAAGTATGGAAAAAAGAAAGCAGAGTATGGAAAAATATTTGCATTTCCAGACTTTTGCCCCTATTTAGTTTTCTATAATAGAAAATTAAGAATTGAATGAAAATAAATTTAGCATACAAGAAGTATGTTTTCATGGCAGCTGTTTAGTGATTCTTCAGTGATTGTCAAACACGACTGAATGAATTCAAGGTGCACTTTTTCATTATGCAAAAATGCAAGTTATAAGCGTTTTGGGTTTCTTTTTACGACATTCTTAGCACCGTATTACAGAGCCTCTAAAAGGATCTTTACAAAAATAAAAAATATACAGACTTTCATGTGCACTCAAATTAGATTTGCACACGTCTGTTTATTGCAATAACAATAAAAGCATTAATGACCCCAGTTCTCAGCTGTGATTAGGGGTGTTACAACCCTCCAGTGCATAGATGATGTACAGTCAGTGCTTGTGTGCTTGGCATTTACTTAAAAACACAACATTTCTTAATGTATTCTGTTGCTTTTGTCTGTTTCAACAGGCCATGATTGTTCGCAATGCAAAGGACACTGCTCATACTAAAGCAGAAAGGAGCATCCTAGAGGAAGTTAAGCATCCCTTCATTGTGGACCTCATATACGCCTTTCAGACAGGAGGCAAACTTTACCTCATCCTGGAGTACCTAAGCGGTGAGTTCAAAACAGCAACTGGTGCTTTTTAATCAGTAGTTTTGGTTTTGAGAAAAAAATTTAAACAAGACATGTTTTAGAGAATGTATCTGGAATCAAGTTTATGTTTCTGTAACAGGTGGAGAGCTGTTCATGCAGCTGGAGAGGGAGGGGATCTTTTTGGAGGACACAGCCTGGTAAGTGGAGCTTTACCAGTCTTATCAGGATATAGATCGTTCCCATGTCAAGATGACCTGTCTGCTATCTGGATGAAACGCCTCTGTTTTGTGTAAACGTTGATCTTGTGCGGGAGGCTTTCAAAATTCATTGGCTTAACAAATGTTGTTTGTACATACAACCCAAATGCTGATTTGATGGTTTGATGGACCAAATATTTAAAATTTGTTCAAATGTTTTTTTGTTTTTTTTACCAATTCTAAATCTGTGATCATTTTCTCACCCTCATGTAATTCCAAACCCATATGCTGTAAATTTTTTCCGTTTAACTCCCACATATTTAATTATTTTTAAATACTTTAATGAGTGTGTACAAAGGTCTTTATCATACAATGACAATTTATGGTGTTAAGCTGTTAAACTCCAAAAAGAAATAAATCACCTTAAAAGCGGTCTATATGACTGTAGCACTATATATTATGATTTGTTTGAACCCTAATATGTATGGGGAAATAATATATAAAATATACAATAATATACAATATATAATAATTATAAAATTTTTCATTTTGGGGTGAACGATTTGTTTAACAAAAAATGTACAAATCAATGGATTGTGAAAGCATTTAAATTTTTAATTTCCATTTATTTATTTATAATTTGATTTACTTCTAGCTTTTACCTGGCAGAGATTTCCATGGCCTTGGGTCACCTTCATCAGAAAGGCATTATCTACAGAGATCTGAAGCCAGAGAACATCATGCTCCGTAACAATGGTAATAAACACACACACACTTGTCCTTTTATCCCAGATAGTCCTCAGACTTGCACCACTGCCTGTTCAATAAAGACTGTTCTCCTCTGGATGTGCTCATTTCATTCTCATCTCAGGTCATGTGAAGTTGACAGACTTTGGACTCTGTAAGGAGTCAATCCATGATGGTACCGTCACACACACCTTCTGTGGAACCATAGAGTACATGTATGTACAAAGTCACATTTTCACCCAATTAAACAATCTTTTTTTATATGCTCATGTAACTTCTAGATGTAAATGGCCAATGTAAAAACTGAGTAGCAGAATTGGCCAAGTTGCTGAATACTAAATATCGATGATATTTATTTTAATGTACTCATGGTTGTGACATCAATTTCCAAGCAGCCTGTTATTGCATCTTTTTCTCAAATAAATTGTCTGTGTAGGCTAGAAAGGGAGCTTTGTGTTGTTTAACAACTTGAACTTGAATTTTAAAACAGTAAGAAAAATCATGTTTTCGGCAATGTGGCCTCTTGAAAGTTCATACAGAGCAGTTCATGGAGGTCAGAGCCTCCATCAATAATGTCAGCTGAAGGCTTATTTGGGGCCTCTGGTGTCAGTTAGGTCAAAGTAAAAAAGACAGCAGCACAAAAAATGGTTGGTGTGATGGCCTTTTCTCTCTTCACTCATTCATTCTGTCTTTCTCTCTTTGTTTCTCTTGTCCTCTCCCTTTTTCAGGGCACCAGAAATCCTCATGAGAAGCGGCCATAACCGAGCTGTGGATTGGTGGAGTCTGGGAGCCCTGATGTATGATATGCTAACAGGAGCTGTGAGTGTTCATGGCCTCAATCTCCTCTCTGATATCTTGCTTCTCCATTAATGTTTTACATGAAGTTAGAAACAGATTAGGTCAATAAGCTGTATATAAATATCAGTAGATAAATATATGCATATAGATTATGCATATAATGCTGTCTTAGAATAGATGTACATTTACACACACACACACAGAGATGATTTATAAACGCTAGTGGTCGACCAATATATCAACCAATATTTGGCATTTTTGGCAAGTTTTTCTGTTTGGCGGATGTGTTCGAGGCAAACCTTTTATTTTGACGTAGCTGAGAACAGCAGCGCCTGAACACAGTGTTCACATTCTCCCTCTTTATTGTTTGCTGTCGCCGTTTAACAGTTTTGTCTTATACGAATAGAAGTAGTGGTCGACCGATATTGACAGCCGATGCCGATATCTTGGAAAGCAGGGGGGCCGATATAAAGCCGATATAATTTGTTTTTAATTTTAATTAATATTTAACAAATTTGAAATCATTTGACAATGGATTAAAAAATAAATGTGTAAAATAAACATACTTATACTTTAGATGACAAAGTATTTTTCACAAATAAATAAATATTTAATAAAAATATAATTAAAAAGGAAGT